GGATTAACAATTCCTATCATGCAGTAACGGCATACAGGTGCAAATACGTGTAATAAAAATATAACGTTCAGTGTGTTACAGCAAATATGCCCTGTTTTTGGTGGGTTCATTTAGTGAATGTGCTTAATGGGTCAGTGGAACCTGCCTTCTACATGTAGGTCAATCCCAAGGGAAATTCTGACTTTACTTTCCCTTTTTGAATCTTCCCACAGCTGTGAATTAGAAAGGAAAGACGACTGATTGGTGGCAGTGGGATGCACAATGGAAAGAGGTTCCATGTCTGGTCCCCACAATTTTCGAATTTTGTAAACAAGTTTAAAAAAGGTATGCAAGTACTGAACCTCCTTTCTCTGTCAAAATCCACTACAATAAAACAAGCCGTTACCAAAAAAGGTGTTTGTGAACTCAAAATTCATGACAGCCAGACACAGAACTCTTTTGTCCACAGAATTTTCACAGGATAGATCGCTAATGAAGCATAATTGTGCCCGGCTCTGCAAAAAGGTGTTTTATGTCACATTTTTTGGGAATTTGAGTTATATAATCAAATTGCTCACATCCTAAACTTTCATCTGATATACAATTCATCCCGGTGGCATTTTGCGTTTTGGCATGTTTGGAGTTATTTGCCTTTGCATGTTCATATAAATTATAATTTCATTTTATCACACATGCTTTTGGAGATAATATTAAACTTAATTTAGACACTCTCTTGGTTTTCCGCAACTTAGTACACCTTTTTGCAGAGCGGGTCACTATTGTGCAATGATGCAGATCCTGTGATCGCGCCAAACATTTTGATCACTAACCACTTACTGCCGGGAGACCCGTTTTCGAGCACGTACTGGGGGGGTAGGCTGTATATACGGAGCCGGGGAACCCGAAATGGGACAGAGGGAACTGGGCCTTGTAACAAAAGACCATGCTCGGAACAAAAGATGCTCGGTAATGCCCGGCAGCAGGCTGCTGGGCATTACCGACATTTTTTTACTCTCAATAATGCAGATACATGTACATGTGTAATCCAGCCTTGTTTTGAAATAGTATACCACGGTTTGAGGCATTTAGAGCGAGCGGATTACCACCGGGGACAAAAGTGCTCCACCACCGCAGCAATGAGCCACACAGCATCGCTGCACGCTAATCTGGCCCCTGTTGAAAAGAGGTCAGCAGCGCACTGTGCCAGGTTCGTGAAGAAAAGAAAGTTATGTAACACTGCACAATCTGGGCTCTTTTTACGAGGTTGCAGGCCTGGCTGAAATACTCGGGCGTCAGTAGATTTTGTCTGTCAGACTAGAGTGGCCACCAGACAGTAATTCGTGTGGGTGTAAACGTCCATTAATTGAAATGATGAATTTTTGAAGAATTTTGAAAACTGAAAATCTTGGAAAAGTCCTGATTATGTGCACTGCATTTTTCAAACCATCCTGCAGCAAGTGGTTAATTCCCATCCAGCCAATGTCACTATCCACATCGGAGCATTTTTGTCATGAGTGCTGCCTGATTGTGACGTGAGTCGAGTTGAGTCAATGTAACATACATATTATGTACATGTAGTGACTTGGGTAGAGTCAATAGGCAAAAATGTTGAGTCAAGTATTTAATTCGAGTCACAAATATTTGAGCACATTGCAACAAAAAACAAGAGCGAAAAACCTGCTTTAGCAGCCTTAGGTCACTGCACGTGGTCACACCACGGCTTACTCTTGATAACACACGATTTGAACATTATAAACCAACACTGTAAGTCATTATAAATATTTGTTTGTAAAGAAATTTGCTCTTATTTTGGGGACTCGATTATTCAATTAAGTTGGGTCTTCTGATGAGGGTCCAAGTTGAGTCGAGTCATTTGCTTGTAGTGACTCGAGTCAAGTCATTTTATACATGTACATGTAAGGGCTCGAGTCCAGTAAAGTCACCACAAATGGTGACTTGAGTCCGACTTGAGTCAAGTCATCGACTCATTAAGTCATAACTCATTACAACTTAGTTGCTTACATCTAAAGGTGCTATGTCGAATGCCTTGGCAATCTCCTCGTACAGCTCCCTGACATTCGTGAAACCTTCAATCCGTTCAGTGGAGCTCCCGTGGGCTAGCTGGGTGTAGAACACCAGCCTCCGTGGCGGCTGTTGTGGCTGTGTGGCTGAAGGTACCTGACTGCCATTGGCCACCGGCGGCACAGCAGAAGTGGGAGCTGTTGGGTACGCCTCTCGTGAGTTTGTCTGATCGACATCGGGCTGCTGCTCATATTCCGTGAGGCCCCCTTTTGGCTTCTTTTCACCTTTCTTTTTTGGAAATAAAGGCATGACAACAGTTTCTGTGGCTTGGATTTCAAGAAGGAGTAGTATTATCCTGATGGGTAAGCAGACTGGTAGCAGGTAGTTGTAGGCCAAAAACGGTTTCCTCCAGTCAAACTGTCTACAACAAGATCTACTGAAACTGAATTAAAAATGCACTCGAGTCGGATTGAACCAGAACACCAAGACAAGTTTTTCGCAGAGCAGGCACATCAATTTTGTCTCACAACTTTCAGGATAGCTCCAAATTCGCATTAGGCCTAGAACTGGCACTCAGTTCGTCAAAAGATCAAGACCAACGTCGACAGCAATAGCAGAGCAGAGACGTTGTTCTCCGGGTACATCGCGTTAGGCCTATGAAGTACTGTACATGTATGTACCGACAATGACCGAGTACATGTACCTTCGTGTACAAGTAAAACACCTGATGTAGCCAAGTCCTCACCACGAATTTTCACTTACTAAGCCACATTCATCAAACGACATCGGCAAAAAGACCAGTTTCCAGACACTTCTGAAAGTTCCCGCATGAAAATGTCAATGTAAGTGCTGGACTTAAGAAATCACCGGACAGAATTCCGGATCGAAATTTGGAAATTCAAGTGGGTACAACTACAACTCACACCTCCCCAAGATGAGCGGCCATTACTGCACCTTCAACAACCACACCGCCGCTGGGGGGCGCTGTATTATGTTGCACACTCGTTCTAGTACTACGAATATGGTGCCGACCAGCCGGCGGGCGCGGGGGTTCGATCTCAAACGTCAAGTTGTGCATTGATAACCAGGGAGAAATGACCAAGAGCAACAAAAATATCGGTCGTTCCCACCTTCTTGTCCCGACCAAGACACGATCCTGTAGCTGACAAATCGATGCTCGTTCAAATTACTTGCTCCGAACCGACTAAGTCCGAATTCGCAGTTTGCTACTACCCGTCACTCTTGAACGCTTTCCATTTGTGCGACGGCTCTTTGAAGGGAAAATCATGAACTCAGTTTTGGAAAGTGGTATTTACGCACAACTATAAAATTTACTTTAAATTTAAATGTGAGAGTCAGATTGGCGTAGTGGTTCTTTCCGTGCCTTCTACTTGTGCGGTCCGGGTTCGATTCCTGGCTCGCCGGTCCACGTGGATTGGGTTTTCAGTCCCTACCTAATTCCGTGGGTTTTACCCAGAATCTTCCTCGAGGGTTTTCCTCCCACCTCTTAAACTGCAACTGCTTCTCATTTTAATGTGCCCGAGTCTTCGAAGTTGGTGCATCTCTTGGAAGAAGAATTACAGAGTCCTATCTCCCGAGGCTGAAGTGAAGGCCGAGGGAAATAGTTTCGATTATGGTGTCTTGTGGAGACCCAGGTTGTGACCGACCGACCTTATCTCAAGTGGTAAAAGAAATGAGAACCATAGAATTTAATAAGGGCGCCCTAATCAGTGTTTTCTGTATACATGTATGTCCATGGAGTTATGTCCCCACCTGATGTCAGTCAAATATTGTTGGATCAACCGCTGCCATCAGCTGGGAGTTTATATTCAAGGGCTAGCGTAGCTACCTGGCCGGAAATAACAAAACATCAACGGTAGGCTACCATCCGAACATGCCGAATATAGACGGGACTACTTCGGAATATTTCGGCTATTTGCAGAAAAATGGAGGAATTCCTCCTGCCCAGTCTCGGTCACGTGGACATTGGATGATACCGGACTCTTGATTCATGCTGTCAGAATCATCGGGTCTGGTGACTTAGACGTGATTTGCCAGCCATGTAAACTTTTTCCGCGTGGTTTTTCCTGGATTGTGTGAATGATGGCTGAACACAAGACCACCAGGTGAGCTCCGAGATCCAAACGGACGACACCAACGCGGGCTGCGATGTCAAGGTCAGCGGCTTCACCTCAGCCATCTGAGCCTTCCGTGCACTGGCTGGGCCAATTTGGCCGGAGTGAAGAACCTGCCCAAGCCGATCTTTGTGCCGGTGACCAAACTGGTGGCCATGCTGGCAACCAAGTTAGTGGCTATGCCAGTACCTATGCCGGTGCCCGTTCCAGTGCCCACACCGGGAGCCAGACTGGATGCTGGGACACATCCCACCTCAACAACCGGTCAAGCAAGCACACCAGGGGCCAAACTACTAGCCGTACACGCAGCCACACCAGTAGCAGCTTAAGTTCTCATATTAGCACTGCTAACAGCTCAGCCCTCCCCAAGATAAGGGTTGCTGAAAGGGAGAAAGAGCTTGCTTTGGCACGTCATCACCTGCAGTGGGAGCAGAGCGTCTGTAGGAAGACTGAAGAACTAGAAGAACAGCTACTTTCTGCACAGCGTGCAAGAGAAGAATCGGCCCCGAGGGATAAGGAGCTCGAGATTCGACGATGAAGGGAGTTAGAGGAAGAGGAGCTCCAATTGGCTAGGAACGGCTCCAAGCTGAGCAAGAGCAGCAGCGTATCTTGAAAGTGAAAGAAAGACTGGCAAGACGGTTTGAGCTGGAGAAACGCTGCAAAGATGCTGAACTGAATCCAGCCCAAGCTAGAATAGAATCTGACATTATTCAAACCAGCAATGATCAGTTAACAGGTTCTGATTCTCCACCACTCAGCCCAGCTGTAGCCCCTGATACACAGGCTACGTCTGTTGTTAACCTGTTTGTTGCTAGTTACAGCCACTTCTTGACTTCCCATCAGCGCCCCACTCAACATGGTGCATTCTGATTTGCCTGAATCTGCTGCCTTGCCCGTGCTAGTTGCTCGCAATAGTAACGTTGCTCTGCCCTTGTCTGCGGTTGCCAGCTCTAATCCAAAAATATCGGTGCTTTTGCATATCCAGAAAATTGCAGCAAGTCAGGCACAGCAAACCCATTAAAACACTAAGCACGCAGTTACTAAAGACATTCCTACAGCCTAACCTTTGGAGGATATTCCAGGAAGAGATTAAAAAGAAACAGAAAGCAGTACGAACGCTGGAACCCCCATAAACAACTCCTTTAAGACGCTACAGTGGGAGACGCGTTTAGTAGACGATAGATTACGTAACAGTAACAATGAAAACGTAAAATGTACCGTTTTTCACATTGCTATTGAAACAATGGGTGGCATTTAGAATGAAAGACTGTCTGAAACGACAACGAGTTGTCTTAGGAACACACAGTCCAATACCTGACTGGTTGTAGTTGAAACAAGCGTGGAGTGGGTATGTGGGATCACGCATTATACTATGAATATTCAAAAGAATGCGTATCTCATACAAACTACAAATAGAAGGAAGATCGGTTCGGATTACTCGTTTTGCAATTTTCCTAGGTCTTTCAAGCTTCTTAATGCTTTCTTGTGATAGGTTGCCAACGGTACACAAAAAATTAAACGTAAGAACGTTCCGCAGTACCGACCGATAAAAGATGGCCGTGATATTGTTGTCCACTCAGAACTCCCTAAGTTTCCTCAGGAAGTACAGCCTTTGGCTCGCCTTACCAGCTACAATTTGTGAGTTTTTCTTCCAGTTTAACCTCTCGTCGATCACAGTTCCTAAATACTTATATTCATGTCAGGAAATGGAAAAATGTGTAATTTGTGTGGGTTTAATATCTTGCATTTCTTATTCTGCTCCCCTCGTTCCCGGGATACTTTCCAACCTTATACAACCCAAACGGAACTATCTGTGGTATGCAATGGTGGAGGTCATGATGTTTACCCCACCTCCTAATCCAGTCCATTGTTTTAGGGGAACTTTCCAACAGTCCTGACCAAGTATTTTTAGAAACAGAATGTCAGTTTTCATTGTTTGGGAGAATCATCAAATTGGAGGTTGCAGGTTGTTGGACCCTGGGAGAAAATCTGCTGATCTTGCTGATGAGCAGAGTTACACAATGAGCCTTAAAAGATTTGGCCAATGGGGAAGCTTATATGCAAATCAAACTTTGAGGAAGGTTTGGTCAAACTTGCAAGTGACCAATCATATTCTTGATGGAAATGTCCATCAAGAGACTATAACAGGCATTTAAGGGCCTATGTCGGGGTCAGAATTCAGTCTGCACCACCACCCAGCAGCCCACTGGTCAACAGCCCGACACTCGAGTCTACACAGTAGCCATCTGGGGTGAGTTGCTGTCCTTAGTAATCTACCTGTGTGTAACTTCATTTTTAAATTTATTTTGATTACTTAGTATCATAGACTGTGTTACTTCTC